CTGCTAGCAGCTCAGTAGATAATATACAGGAAAGACTCTGCCTGAACGGCATATGATCAAGTGCTGTAATTATGGCCTGTATGGCCTTAGCAGCATCCTTAGAACTAAATTCACAAAGACAGTTTTTAAACACATCCTTTTATGTACGTGGGCTTGAGTGAGTCACATCTTGTGCTCAGTTAAACTTTCTCCTCATTGCTCAACATCACACATAATGACAGAGCCTGGCTATTGAGATAGAGATTTTGAGATCTTCGTCTGGGGATGACAAATCATTTGATAGGTGGTGGAACTGTGAAATAAGAGGCAAAGAGAGATGCACAAAGTCCACTAACAGACTAAGCTAAGCAGGACAAGGCTCTTGGCTTTGCTCCCTGTTTCACTAGGCCACAGAGACTCTGACTTCACACAATACTTCTTTTCACTTTGTGCTACAACTGTTAAAGTGGAAAATGGTTTCTAATATGAAAGCTGCATAGTTCCCTGCATAGTCAAAACATACACAGATTGCAACAGAGTTCTAGAAAAGTACACCTCCTTCACTCATCACTGCTGTTCCCACCAACTAGTACAAAAGTCAAGCGGCCTTCTGGGATAATCTGTTTTAGTTCTCCAACTAATTGTACAGCTCAGACCTCATTGCCTCATCAGAGGATTAATTGGTTCTGATGTTCTCAAGTTTCATTTCGTGTTGGCTTCTAGAAAAATGTCTGTATTTCCCTGGTTAACTGAAAGAATTTAAAAAGATTTCCAGGTCATTCTGGCACCATGTTTTTCGAAGACATTGCCAAGCTCAATAATCAGAGTCTGCTTTTGCTACATCATACTTGTGTACCTAGTGTTACACTTTACTTCTTCAGGTTTCTACAGTTGCAAATGTCACTAGTCTTTTTGTGATTTTTTTGTATACAAATATTAGAAGAGTGTATTTGAGTGAACGGCACAGGCCCTTGGAAGTGTCCCTACCTCCATGGTGGAAAGGATGCTTGCTTTTCTGGCTTCCCCTGTAGGCTTGCCTGTGAAGACTCGGGGCTCCTTCTGCACGGTGACGTTGATCCAGGTTGAAGCAGAAGTATGAACACAGCTACTGCTGCACTGGCGTCATGGTTATGAAGGCACTTCAATGTGGGAAGGTGTCCCACATACTGAGTACTCCAAATGCCTGTGAACAGCAAGGGCAGGCAGGAGCTGTGCTCCCACAAGGGAGAGTCCATTCAGATGGTTCAAGTAGCATCAGCTGGAAGTTTCCTTTAGGAAAAGGTCTCCAGGTTTGGTTTCTGGAATGAATAGATACATCTGCCTCATAGACTGGTTTAGAGAAAAGAGAGATCAGGTGCTGCTTCCTTGCTCATACCTGCCATGCTTAGCATTTTTTAACTGGTAGGCAGCTTCCCACTCAGTATGCAAAATTTTGTTTAGCTGTTGCGGTATGGCTCTTATCTCCATGTGCTACATAGGATCTTTAGGTATTAACTTTGGGCTTAGCCAAGTCCTGAAAAGCTGTATATTGTTGCATTTGGGGTACATATATGCATCTCTGTCTAATGTGCATCCACAGAACTGACTTCAATGGCTCGCAGTCCTCTGTACTGCCCATATGCCTCGTTAGGGTTAGTCTGGGAGTCAGGAGATAAGATAGAACCCATGTGCTGATTTATTCAGGCTAGGCATGAAAGGCTGCTTCGTGGGCGAATTAGAACATTTTGGGATGGATTCTGCTTGTGACTGTGTGCCCACGAACTGATCAGGTCACTGGTGGGAAGACTTCAGTGAAAATATTCCAGTTGAGAGCATCAGTTGCATTTGTAAGGAAATAAAAATCAGTCTAGGACCAATATCAGTTCATCAGCTGTATTTCTCCCTCTCTCTATGAATTTTGTATAACTCATTAGCATAGACCTTGCGTAAGGGGATTGCATTTCACACTTAATATGCATAATTATATCTTGCAAACAGTTTATTAATGGATATATAATCATAGAGTAGCTTGTATATACATAACAGTGTGTTTGATTATGCTGCAGCTGCCATAGATCAATGGATACATAGGAGTCTCACTTATTAGTGTCTCACATGCACAAAGTCTAGAGAATGATATAACATCTGTACTACACAGTTGTTCATCAAATACTGCTACCCAGGGGAAATAAAAAATTTCAAAGACTTGGTACAGAAGGTAAGAACAGTGCACACAAGACTTGTCACTGGAAGAAAATTCCCCTTCTCAAAAACATCCACTCTGAATATTTTTAGTAGTATTCTTCCTCAGTTCTCCATGCACTGTAAACACAGCAGATCTTATTTTGAAAAGAAATGGCTCTGAAGGCAATGTGCCTCCAAGTCTGACCATTTCTGTTTTCTGAAGGTGACTCATCCAGAGGCCTGATGAACAGACGAAGGTCTCATCCCATGAATCAACAGCACAAGGATCTGCAGACCAAGCTAATTCTGCTAACATTGGAGTAGCCTGAGCCGCACTGAAAGGGCTTGCGGAAACATCACTGAGGTTCCTTTAGGAAGAGCTTTTGCTTGGTACAGCACAAGCAAGAATATTCTAGTTTGTTTTCATGTGTTGTTGATACAGTACTAAAAAGTAGGAGCAAAAAGCAGTGTGGTAAGCTGCAGAATACCCACAAGTTTGTATCCCACCTCCAACATGATAACCTCAGCTTTCCCTCCCATGTTGCCCAGATACCACCTGCAAAGCTGCTTTTGCCTGCCTGGCCAGGGGCCAGTCACTGTGGCCAAACAGGGTAAATAGCTCCTGGAATTATGTGCAGCCTTTCATGCAGCAAAGGTGTTTATTTGTGTGCCCCTCCCCTATCAGGCTAGGAATAAAAAAGTAGGAACTTCTCTATCTTCAAGACCTAAATTGCCTGTTAAGGCACTGGGGCTGCACAGGGGTAGTGAGGAGAACAGCTGGTCCAATGTTGCATGCTTCCTGTGATGAGAAATCCAGTCAGTGTTATTTTTCTTCCCCAGTTGTATCTGTTAGCATTAACAGGAATCAGATCCCTTCACCAAGGAGACATTCTTCAGAGCAGAAGTTCATTTTTTCAAAGTCAGCTCAGCCTAGAGAAACTGGATAAACCCAGAAGAATAACATGGTACCGTGGGGCCATTTTCCATCTCATCACTGTCTGCTGTTCTGTTTTTGCATCAGACCCGGGGAGGCAACAGGCAGAGGCAGGGACCGATCTGTTGCAGACTTCCCAATAAAGTTGACTCACTTTATTTAAAACGAAAACTTTGCAGTGAAGAGAGCCCAGACAAACACTAAACAAAGGGCTGTGGGGAAGAAAGCAGTCAGAGTTGCTGTTGTTTCCAAGCAAAGTTTTAAAAAATATGGGACAAGGACAAAAAACATGCAAACAACAACAAAAAAGAAAACAAACAAAAACACCCCACAACTCGCTAGGTGATTACTGCTCCTGGTTCTTATTTCAGGGCTTCACAACCACTCACTTTCGAGCTCAGTACTTTTTTCTGTTTTTTGCAAATTGCGTTTGGAAAAAGGCCTGTTCCGTTGGCGCTGGGGGAGGCAGGAGCTGGGTGATGTGCTCCGAGTGGTGACAGATTACTGGAGGTTAAGAAGGTGGATTTCCACCCGATGGACTTGGCAGCTCTCCTGCAGGTCCATGCACTCAGTATTGATCTTGCTGTAAGATGAATAGAAGATGAATAGTGATATGGATTTTTTTTTTTTTTAAGTTCTTTTTTGGGCACGTCTAAATATGGCTGGCATTCACGAGAGTCTTGCCTAAGGGTTGGTATTAATCTAAACTAATCAAGATAATATATAACGTTTCTATGTTTTAGATCTCAGTGCAGTTTCAGATTTAATTATTACTAAAAAAATGTTTTTAAACTTCTCTCAACTTCTGACCATATCTGTGTATCTGCAGCACAGTAACACACCGGCAGTGGGAAGGCACAGCTTTAATGCACCTAGAGTTACTGCCTGGATGTACTAAACTTCCCATGTAAACTTTTTCTACATGTGAACACAGCATCAGCAGTTTCTTGATGAAGTCCGTACACAATTAAGGAATACAGACGCTTCCCTCGTTTTTATTAATTTGCTCGCACTTGATTCAGATCGTGCCTCCTGGCTAACCTTAGCATCGCCCTCCTCCAATTTGCATGAGTACGTGTAAAGTTAAGATTGTAACGCTGAGAGATTAGAAAACCTCATTTCTTTATCAAAAGATCTAATGCGCTCTAATATTTTTACGCTGGCAATGGGCACCAAGCTACCCGAGCGCTTTTGGCAAGGGCACCTATAGCCTCGTGGCACTCCTGGGCTGCTGGGGAGCGGCGGAGGGCTGCAGGAAAAGTTAATAATCGAGGTGAGGGTGGAATAGAAAGCTTTGGGACAGGTGGTGTGCGTCCTGCAGGGGTGAGGCTGAAGCGAGCAGCACTCGGCGCTGTGTTTTGGGCCTGGAAGTGAGCCGAACGTGGCTGAGACAACCGAGAGGGCTGAAGAGACTGAGGGAGGCTGAGGGGACTGCGCCCACCGTGGGGCCGAGGGGACCGAACAGACCGACGAGGACCGAAAGGACTGCGCCCACCGTAGGGCTGAGGGCGCCCTCTGGGCGCTGGGGCCGCTCCCCCCGCGATAGGAAGCCGGAAAGCGCCGCGGGAGCCGCCGCGGCGGAGGGGCGCGGGGGGGTCCCGCCTGCCACAGCCCCGAGGGGCGCCTCGCTGCGGGCGGAGGACGTCGCCCTCTTCCCGCCTGCCCCCCTTCCCGCCTCCGAGGGAGGCGCGCGAGCCCCCGGGGCGCGGCGCGGCGCATGCGCGGCGGCGGCGCGGAGTTGTGAATGGCGCGGCTGTTCGGCGGAGTTCGCGAGGCGGGGAGGAAGTCGGAGGGGAGGGAGGGAGAGCGGAGGGGGCGGCGGCAGCAGCGGCTGTGCGCGCGCGGCGGGAGGAGCGGAGGAGAGGGGAGAAGGGAGGGAGGAGGGAGCGGGAGGGGGGGGGGCTCCGGCGGGGGCTAACAAAGGGCGAGGCGAGTGGCGGGGCCGGGACAGCGCGGGGCGGGCGGAGGGCAGCGGCGGCCCGGCACCATGCCGCGGGTCGTCCCCGACCAGCGCAGCAAGTTCGAGAACGAGGAGTTCTTCAGGAAGCTGAGCCGAGAGTGCGAGGTGCGGCGGCGGGCGGAAAGTTTGCGCGGAGGGCCCGGGGAGGGCGGGGAGCGCGGTCCGTGCGCTGCGCTGCGCTTATCGGCGCTGCTCTGATTGCGCCCTGTTCCCGCAGATCAAGTACACCGGCTTCAGGGACCGGCCCCACGAGGAGAGGCAGGCCCGCTTCCAGAACGCCTGCCGCGACGGCCGCTCCGAGATCGTAAGTGCCGGCCGTGCCGCCCCGGGCCCCGCCGCGCTGTCCGCGGGGCGCTTTGCCGGCTCCCGGCGCGCCTCGGGCCGCGCTGCCCGCAGCTCCCGGGGACGCGGCGCCTTTCCGGGGCGAGTAGCGCCGTCCAGAAGGCGCTGGGGAGAAGTCCCGCCCGAGCCGAGTGATGCTCGCCCGAGCTCGGTCGGGCGCTTTTCGAAGTCGCTGTTGGCAGCTCCCCTCGCTCGCTCGCCGGACGGCGGGTTTGCGCTCCTCGGAGCCGCGGCCGGGCGCGGCGTGGCTGTGAGCGCGGCGAGGTGGCGGCCGTTTCCTGCTCGATCGCCGCCGCGCCGCTCGGAGCTGGGCGCACGCACGGGTCAGCCCTTCTCCGTTTATGACACGGCGAGGTAGGAGTTTCCTTCCCGCAGGCAGACCCCGCGCTCGGTCTGGGACGGCGCTTCGGCTCTCCGTCGCGGTGACGCTGCCTGCACAGCCGCGCTGCGGTGTGGCTGAGCGCTGATTGCCGCGGCAGATCGCGCTCGCTGCTGGCTGTGGGCAGGATACCTTTTTTTCTGAGGAACTTCATTGTAACTAGACTTACCTGCGCTCGTTCCCTGTGGTCTGGGATCCTGTGCTGCTGTGTTTTTACACTCATTTTTCATTGTGTGTGTGTTTGCTGGCGTTAAAAAGTCGCCAGGGAAACAATGGGGAGGTGAGGGAAGCGGGCTGCCGGCCTATGGGGCTCTTGAGCAGGTGGAAGTGTGAAGTGCCTCAGTCCGTCCCTTCAGAAGGGAAAATAAAAGGGGACGAAAGGCGTTCAACTGCTAACCGGCTTTCTAATGCAATTTATGCTGTTATTTCTGTAAATGAGAAGTCGCTGTAGCTTCACCTCTGCACTTCTAAGCGTGCTGTCTGTCTTTGCCAGAGCCCCATCCCTTGGAAGGGAAGCCACCAGCGATGTCTGTTCTACATATTTTTTCATCGACTTAATTATAAAACAGCCTCTACATTTCTTGATCTGAAACATCTGGTTTTGTTCTGTGAACAAGGCACAAGTAGTTGGGTTTATTTGGAGACGCAGTGTGTGTAATGACTGATGTTAAGAAGAGCTGGCCGTCTCTTATTTTTTTCATCTTGAATGTTTTTCCAGACATCAAGGATGTAGTCTTTTATCTCCAAAGGGAGCCTCAGCAAATGACCTTACATATTTTTTCAGCAGACAGAAAATGAAAACAGAGCAGCTGAAGGCTCTAACGTAGAACTGGCAGTAGATTGTTGCTTCCTTTTATCAAATAACTCGTTTGAGTAAGGAAAATAATTACCAGTACTAGTAGGAAAAGAACACATGGAATACCAAATCATGTTACTGTTTCACTGGTGTTAAATTGCTTTTATAACTTTAGAATATACACAGATATTTTGATTTTGGAGGCTTCTGATCTGTGCTTGATTGGAAGGTGTTTACGTGCGTTTACGCAGCATGGATGTAGGTCGTGCCAGCCTCGTGCTACCTGGTGGCTCCTTGCACTTCAGACTGAGCTTTAAAAGGCTCTGCGTAGCAAATAACAATGTACTCAATTTCAGTTTTATTACCAAAGTGGTGGTCTGATTATTGTTCTTCTCATGTGTTTATTTGTTTAGTAACAGCAACAACAAAAATGCTGGGTCCAGGGTAGATCTGTGTGGTTACTAGCGAGGCTATTCTTGCATTTTTCAGTACCGACCAATGATTTTGAGGCAGGGTGTTTTACTTGGTCGGTTTCATCTGCACAAAGAGAGGAAACGGGCTTCAAAAATCAAGAGAGTAAGTTTGCCACACAGCTTCTGAGGCGCTTATGGTCTACGTGTTGCCTGCGTGGCTCCGTGAGGATGTGAAAATTTGCGTACTTTCATTTTCTTTTTTTCTCTAGTATTTTCCCATGCTTTTTCACAGTTCTCCTGCACAAGTTTAGGCACGGGGTGCTTCTGCATCTTGCTCAGTTTCCCAGGGAGCGAGTGCAGCTCTCCTGCCCAGTGCCCTCGGGGCCTGCGGGATCTGGAGCGGTCTGGAGCACTGCAGACGTCTGCTCTGCATTCCAGGATCTCGCTCCTTGACACTTGGTTTTAAGTGCCTGAATTAAGGAGTAGAAAAGATGATGTATTTGCTGAAGATGCTCGGAGATAGGAAAGTAGTTCTTGAGCAGGCGAAGCGGTGAGGGTCCGTCAAAAGTGTTCAGTATTTTTGTTGGTTTGTATGTCAGCAGAATTGCTTGGAATAGTGAAGGGGATAATGCAAGATAATCAAATGCTGATGGTCTGCAGCCGTCGCAGCTTTGATTCTTTATATCTGTGCAAGCGCAGCCTCCATGAAGGTTCTGTTCCACGGATTGAAATGTGCCTTTGCGTATCGTACGGCAAACAAATACTAATGTGCAGTGCAACATCCCTTCAGTGCCAGCAGAACTGATTCTTCAGTTCTAATGGCACTGAGAATGAGCTTACCAGGAGGTAAAAGAAATAAAATTGAATTAACAAAAAAATCTTTTAAATGTAGTTTGGAATAGGATGTGATTGCAGAGTGTTAGTCGCCCTTGTTGAGGGGGAAGAGTCGAGACAAAGCACTTCTACTTTCAAAATGGGAGGTATTAATCCTGTGTCAGTGTTGCAGTACATGACCGGAACTGTCTTAAATAACATGTAGAGCTGTTGTGTCATAGATAGCAGTGCAGTCATAGTTATACCACCAAGTTGCTGAATTCTGGGCTGCTTGAAAGGAATCTGCTTGTCAGGAAGAGGCAGCTGTTAGAGCAGTGTTCCTATGGCTTTCAAGAAAAATTGTATTCTGAGATAATGACTGTTTAAATCTAAGTGATCCTAGTGATCAGTACAGTATTGTTTGACTGCAGTGAAATATATTTGACTGTGAGATTTTGAGCGGAGTTGTGTTCTGGCAGTACCCTGCAGGATTTGCATGCTTACAGGACACATTGCAGCGTACCGCAGAAGGGAAATACCCTGAATCAGGTTTCCATTGGCGGGAAGAAAAAAAAATGCCTCCCCATCTAGAAGTTGGCATGCTGTGCACTCCATGGAGCTGATAAGATGTGCAAATAAATACGGAGAGTTTATAAAGAAAACAATCTTATTTTCGTTTGAAACTGTAGGAAACATTCACTTGGTAGCAGTGTATGCTTTTCCCAATAATTCAGTCCCTTTAATGATTTTACAAAGGGCTGCTGCTGAGAATTCCTGCTCCGATGTATTCTGACAGCATCTTGGATTTCACTGGTGTCTTAATGTGACAGCGCGACTTAGTCCTGCAGTGCTTAATAGAGCTGTGGTGACTCTTACTTATCTGTGGACAGTACACGAGGAATATCTCTGCTTCAGTTCAGAGAACTGTACATCCAGGTGCATGTATATATTCTAAGAAGCGTGTTCTTTTCTTTCAACAAAACTGTTCCTAGTAACAGGTCTCCGGAGTTCATTTTCCTTCAGAAGTACTTCTTTTTAGAGATATGCAAGCTCTTTAAAAAGCATGGGCAATTTTTAATGTTTCAGATCCTAAGTTGGTGTAGGGTATCCATACAGAACCGAAATGACAGATTCTAATGTCAGCAAAACTGATTTGAAAGGAGTATTGATTCCATGTTGTATTTTATATCCAAAGCAGCCAATGGCAAATGTTGTCAAAATGGAATCAGATGTTTGTAACTTAATACTTAAGAAAAATGATGAGTGCATGTTTTTGACTTTAAGTATTCTCTATGCTGCCTAGCTTAAGACATAAACTGATGTAAAAATAAATGACTGCCTGCATAATTTATGTAATGTCTTGCTCCCTGATCCTGTTTGTATTGATTTTTCTAAAAGGCTTTTGTGGCCACGGGAACCAATCTGTCTCTCCAGTTTTTTCCGGCCAGCTGGCAGGGGGAGCAGCGGCAGACACCGACCCGGGAGTATGTCGACTTTGAGAGAGAAGGAGGCAAGGTAAGAAGGAAATTGCTGCCACTGAAAGACATTTTTATACTGTGCTGATGGTCTTGTTGGTATGGATTGCATGTGTGATGCAGAATTGCCAATATCTCACTTCTGCTTGCAAGTAGTCGTACGAGTACAGGCGTGAGTTGGCAGGAGAAACTCTGATATCATTTCGTTTTAAAGCATGCTCATATTTTTGGAGGGAAACACATGGCCAGTCCCAGTGGCTTTTTATTATTCTGAAGAGCAGAGCTTTATTTCTGTGGTTGTGGTATGATAAAATTTTGGGGATCAGTTTAACTTGCTAATATGGAGTAGGTGCTTCTAGAATAGTACAGAGTTAGACCTCAGCGAGCAAGTTGGCATCAACAAATGTGAATTTGCTTTCTGAGCAGGTTATTTCTTTGGGTCTCAGGCTTCTAGTTGATACAGCAAGAATTCAGTGTGCTGTTCAATGGAATCTTTTCTTTTTTTTTCCTCAGTTTCACTGTGAGTGATAATACAGAATAAGAATTGCTTTCAAAGTTCATTTATGATTTTATTTTTCTTTTCTTTGGTGGTTGTCTGATGAACTGATATTGAAAGTGCGAATTCCTTAATGACAGTGATGCTATGTGAAACAGTGTTAGATTTAAAGCCTGGTTAGAGTAAAGTTACTGAAATCACTTATAACTGGTTCTCTTTCTACAGGAGAAACATACCTTTAAAAATGTAGGTCTTACCTCTGTTACTGTAAATTCAAAGATGGCTGAAGTCCATGGGAGACTTTCTGCTGAGCTGACTGGGTTTGGACCAGCACTTGAGATCCCTCAACCTTTATTCTGTATAGTTTCTTTTTACTTCAAAGGTTTCAAGAGACTGTGAAGTTCTTCCTTTTGTCTAAAAGTTTATGCCCAATCTTTTAACAAGTAAATGCAACCAAATCTAACAGGCTGCAGGAAATATCCGAAGCGTATTCAGGTTTAGCAGCATATTGTGGCATACTTTTTAAATGCTGCTAGGTGGAAGATAAACATTTCCTATACTAGGAGAACCTGGTTGGAAGAAGAAAAAAATTCCTGAGGGCAGATACAGTATTTGGAATTCAAGTTAATGAGGATTTTTGGAAAAAAAAATTGTTTTCCATTTAGTCCTGTGAGGCTTCCAGAAGCTTGACAAATTGGGGGAGAAGGAGTGAAGTTGGCTATGCTGGGTACTGACTGCTTTGCTAAGGAAACTGAATTGAATCTGGCTCTTATTGAAAAATATTGATTCTGGCTCACAATTGAATGAGGAATTTTTCTTGTGATGTGTAAGAAGACTGAAGTCTCTTTTCTTGCCAGTTGAAAAATAATGTTATTTACTCCTGTGATGCTTCTAACTTTTTGTTTTCTCTGAATGATTTCTTCAAGTACTGAGAAGTGTTTCGTCCATTTTCTCGTGTTGTCATAATTGGTGTAAGAGCTGGGCAGACGCGCTGCGTATTAAAATAGAACATGAGCCTCATTAATGTGTGCCGCTCCCTGTTTTATGTCTGTTTACAGTAAATTCTAGAGTGCTTCACTAAATCGCTTAGAATATTTCATCTGCATCAGGCTGGAGGTGGACAGGCTGTTAAATGGGACTGGAGCTGTGCTCCAGTATGAACAAAGCACAGATTCGCCGTTGTAATCAGGCTTTACTGTTATAAATCACATGTGAATGCAGGCTTGCTCTGCACAGAATTAAACTTGTCTGAAAGCCACTCCCATAACTTCAGAGAGAAGTAAGCAGAATGGCAGAGAGCTGCCTACGCTATCAACAAAACAGTTAAGTGTTTTATCATTTGAAGTGTCTGAGATTTTTCTTTTCCATAGATTCCTGTAGCCTAGTTTTATTAAGAATTTCTTTCACAGGCTTCAGGAGTCTCTTAAAACCATGTGATTTTTTGTAGCTCTGTGCAACATTGTTTTATGAGCTTTGATTCTTGAGGCAGTGCATAATGTGTGTTTGTTCATCGCTGGACTTCAGCCAGTAGGGCATGTTTTTAATTATGTGAATAAAAAGGGCTATGGGGGGAGCTGTCAGTTAATTATTATTTTAGGCATTAGTTTGAGATCTAGCATGTAGATAAACTTACTGTGCTAGAATATTTCTGTTCTGGAATTCTGGTTCAGTGTTTGGCCAAGCAAGTCGTGGCCCAAAATAGTTTATCCGGAGTTTGTGCGTCGCTGTTGTGCCCGGGCAGCTTTGTACACAAATTGACCGAGTCAGCAGCGTGGCATCTGCTGGAATTACCTCCTAAATGGCTGAGCTTCCGAAAGAGAGAGAGACCCTTGTGAGTCCACCTGGAGCTCAGGACTCTGAACGTTCATTTCATCGGCTGAGGTTTTTCAGTCTGGTATTTCCTCACTCGGGGGTTTTTCCTATGCTTAATTTGACTTCCAGCATGACGTTTCTGATGTTTGCGATGGGTGGGAGGGCCTCTAGTGAGTACCTGATCTGCTCAAAAATAGAATAGCTAAGAGTTCTCATCGTATTTCTGCTCGTTTTAAACTCAGATGTCTTCCTTTTATTTGAAATGGCTTTCATGTCTTATGCTCTCTTTGTTCTGTAGCAAAAGTAATTGTATTCCTTTGCTATGAGCAAAAATACACATAGCAGTAAAAATTGCTCCCTGGACTCCTTGACTGTAAAAACCATAGAACGCTGTTTTGTTACCGTCTTGTATGGGGTGGGGAGGGTGTCAGGTTGAATGCATGTCCTCTTTCTGGATGCCTTAATCAGCAGAGGCTTCCTGGTCCTGTCTATGGTCAACTAATGCCCGTTTCTTCTTTCCTTCACGAGCGCACGAATAAGTGTTTTTAAAAAATTCAGAGTCAAAACAGTGTAGTGGAGTCATCTGTTGCCTGAAATCTCCTGTAATTGAATCCTGGAGTGAAACAGAGCTTCACTTTCTCCTTGGTATCATTAATTTCTTAAAGTAGTTCTCTTGTACTTCGTGGAGTTTTGCTAATTTTTACTGCGGTCCTATATTGATCCCATATGAACTCCTGGCTCAGGGTGTATGTGAGGGTGTTGGTGCTTCTTAACATTTTACTGAAAGTCCGCTTGTTTTGTTATGAACTGTGAGGTGAGATCAGCTTTTTTTTTTTTTCCCCATAGTTCATTTTGTATACTTTTTATGGTAAGATAAAGCATTTGTATTTTTATTTCTTAAACTCAAAGCATGTATATAGCCTGCTCTTTCTAGCCTCAGTGCATGTTAGCTCTCAGTGTTCCTTTTTGTTGTTTAAATATCACTTACCACACTGAAGAAGTGTGTGAAGTTGTTTTACTTCCCCTCCCCTGTCTAATACTATTCTCCATCTCGTTTCTAATGCAGCTTAACTTCCTGTCTGCTGTTCAGCAGCAGCTGCTCATAAACCAGAATCTTATTTTAGTGCAGTGTGCTATACACCCCACGGTTCTGGAGGAAAGCACATCAGACAGGATTAGAATTGATCTGGGTACCTGGCATACCACATGTGCAGTGCAGCTAGGAGTTCTGCTCATCGACCATCACCTCTGTGCTAGCCTAAGTAAAGAACACTGGACTGAAGGTGCTGAGTTTTTCCTCACGTGGTATCTCCGTCATAACTAGGAAACGCTTTAGGTTGTTTTGAAGTGCTTGAATGAATCCAGTGATTGCACAGTGGTCGCTACAGAAGTGCAGTGAGGAAGAAAAGAGTATTTGGGTGAAAACTGAATTTAAATGGCAGTCAACAGTGCCAGTTTTCTTCTTGACCTCTATTCTCAGTGGAACTTGTGGCTTGATAAATAGGAATTGTCCCCAAATCAACTTTTTCTGACGTCAGCAATAAACTTTTGCAGGCTATTGGAGTGATATACTGACTGCTCTGTTTTTTGAGCAAATGCAGTTTACAGTCAAACATAGGATTATAGTGTAACAATCAGAATTTGCTTGGAAAGTGAAGGCTTAATTTGGTCCACACCTATTTTTGAAGAACTTAGATGAAATATTAATTCATTCAAATTAAATTGGAGTAGCAGCTTTTTATTCCTTGTTTGGGTTGTTTTGGGTGTTGTTTTGGTATACTTTTGAACAAATTGGAGAAACTGATTTATAGTTTCAGCTTTCGTTTTTTAGTCTCGTTGAGTTGCCAAGTTGCTGTATTCCTTAAGCTCCTGTGTCTGCAGTCCACCAGCAGGTGAGACTTGTGCATTGTCTCCCTCTAAAATGTCACCACTAGCAGTGCTATGGAGCAGTTATGTATTCTCTTTACAACCCTGAGTCCCTGGACAAAAGTGATTTTGCTTTAACTTTTTCTGGGTGCGCATGCGCTGAATGCTGGGATTTAGAGGGGGAAAAATGTGTTTTAGGGCCATATTAACCAGTGTTCGTATTGTGATATGCCACCGCACATGGGGAGCCATCTTCACCATGAGATGCATGTGGCTGTAAGAGTCGTCAAGACTGAGTCACTGCCTGTCTGTAGTAATTTAATGCTCCTTCGGATGACTCGGAGGTCTCTGTTTAAGGCACCGAAGACAGTGCTACAGTCCTGAAGAGCTGGGTGACACCTAACAGAAGTTCTGGAGCCAATTCTAATAGGGGTAGGTGTACTGTGAGCATGTGAGACATAACTTAAGTAAAAACATAGCAAATGTTGGCATTGAAGCAGTACTGTGCACATTGTAATGAACATTATCTTAATATGTGAGGACTACTTGTTTCCCAGGAGCCGTCCTGCTCATAAGCAGTTTCTCTGCAGAGTGGTCTTGTTGCTCTACAGATGAAAACTCAGGGGCTGAGGTTTCTTGCATAGATTTGTACAGTCCTTGGCTGACTTTTAGGCCAGTCACTAACACAGTGGTGGATGAGGATAGCAGTATCTTAGGGTCAAGTGTTTAGCAGTGTTCAGCAGCTGTTTTCTCCCGTTGTGCTGGCAGGATGATGGAGAATTCCTCTCCTGCCTTATTTTTAGTTTAGCATGGGATGGTAGAGATGTGACTGGAGCCTGTCCTTGGTGCTGGTGCTTTCCCCAGTA